AGCAAAAGCAACCGTAAGAATTTGAAGGAAGTACGTGAGGGCCGCATAGCAACTGCAGCAACAGGCGTGCAGTATATAACATTGAAGAAGCCACAGATCTGCTGGTTTCACATCTCCTCCAATGACCTCGTACGTGGTGGTAACGCACTGCTTTCTTGCAACGATCAGGAATGTTACAGATATCCATTACTGAGAGTTACATTGAATGATAGACAGAACTCACTAGGCTACCATGTGACAATTTCACTCTTGAATGTAACCCCGAACCTGCGAAGAATGCGACTAGTTACATCTCTTAACTCCGCAAATATTGGAGAAGGAAAATAAAAAAGGATAATATTACACGTTGCATGGTACTATTCTCAAATAGGCAACGTCAACAACTTCTGCCACTACATTTGTACACCGGTGGTTGCGAGGGGCACTTGCTGAGGTGGCAGATATAGTTTTAGGAGCTTGCTCGCTTTGCTGGGGGGTTGCCTCTCGTCGTTGTGCCAACGTGTACGCTAGAGCTAATTGATCCCACTAGAGGCGCAGTTGTGCTCTCTATTTCAATAACGCTCACTAGGCGGTGCACTGATACTCAGGGGACGCTCGCTCCACTCTTGGCGCGTGCTCTAGTTTGGGAGGAGACCGCAAGGTCGGCGCGCTTCCTTCCTCTTTCGCCGGACATCACTCAGTGCGCATTGATACCGCTACCCACTATGAACACCGCAATAGCCAAGGGGGTGGCGCGGAGTGTTCGCAATGCGGCAGCAGCGCGGGATCGCCGCCAGGACTCTTGTCGAACTTGCCACTAAATCCTATCAGTCAAGATTCTCTGGCTCTGTACTTTACCGATCTCAAAGCCATTATACTACAAGAAAAACGTTCCTCTAAGCTTATGTGATCCGTAAAGAAGCTCTCGGTGAAAATGTAGATACTGCATCAGTACGTAAATATCTGTACATAGTACATTGATATGTAAACAATGAACACTGTGTACACAAATGATGTATACAACCCCACCACAACAACTCTCGTGTCACGTCTTTATATGATGATGATTCAGGATATGTACAGAACATTTACGGTTTACCAGAATTTCCCTAAAGCAAGCTCTTTCATCATTACTCACTTCGTAGGTATGCGGTTTTTTTTTTCACTTTGGCGAATTCTTACGCAAACTAGGCGAGTGTTTTTGGTGAACACATTTCGCCCTTGTTGTCTGCAGCCACAGAAAGTGTGCGATGCATGGCTGACTTTCGAAGTTTCAGTTTTATTCATTGAAGCGAAAAAAGACAATCTATTAGTGAAGAAGTCGTGGCATTTTCAGTAGGTGCCCCAAAAGCCTGCACCGTAGAACGGCCTCCTGTAAGAGTGGAACGCAGAAATTCGCGTAAGCAAAGAAACAAACTGTTCAAAGTTTTCATTCACTCTAAGTGTACAACTATTATAAATTAACCAAGGAGTACATAAAAAAGGTTACTTCACATGTCATCACTGATGTGATCTCCCTTTGATAAGGACTACAACCCCTTATTACAATCAGTAGGGTAACGAAATAAGTCCTATAGTAGCACAGCCGAGGTGGATATCCCGCCAGTAACGAGATTTGATGTTAGGAAAGCCTTGTAGCGAATGCAGAGAGGGGAAGCCACTGGTGAGGATATGGCAACATCAGATCTGTCGAAACACCGTGGGTATATTCTGTTGAAAAACCTGGCCACCCTGTCTACGAAGAGTCTCGTAACGGGGACTGTACCAACATCTTGTAAGACTGCTAGCATCACCTTAATATATAGAAAAGAGGACGTCATGGACTTGAAGAGTAAGCCGCCGATCAGCTTACTGAGTGTTGTCTGCAAGATATTTTTAAATTACTAGCTAATAGAATGAAGAGGAAAATAATATTAAATTACCCAAAAGACCAAGCAAAGTTTCCTACGGGGTCGTGACGCTGACGAAGGCAGAGACAGTTTGTTGGAAATGAAACTGCTTATTTGGCCAAACTTGGGGCCGGTAAACTAAAAGCCAGATTACAATGATGCACGCTGGTACTGATAGCGGCAAACACAGCGTCGGTCATCGATAAACTGATGAGTGGTGAAGCACTGGCATTCATACATATGCCATCGAATGTACTAGTGTTATCGCTAGCCGCCCCGTAATTTTTATAATAACTTGTACATTGCACGCGTACTCCTACCAAAATGATCGACTGCAGTTCACAAGCTTCCCGAACACTGCAGGCACCATTTGCGCTAAACGTTATCCACAATGTAACGGGGCGATAACAAAATTTGATGGATGTGGTAATATTCGTACTATAATTCGGTTGATATGAATTCGTAGAGATAGGAGTGACCCCAATATTCAGCGCTTATAGGTTCCTGATAAGGCACTTCGTTTGGTCGAGATAGTAGCAGTTATGGAGACTCTACGAAAGTAGAGCGTTGACGAAGCGTATGTAAACATCTCGGAAGAAAGCTACAGTGCACCCACTGTGACAATAGTCCTTAATTATAACGCGGCTGATTTTCAAATAATAAGAGCGTAAAGCATGAGACATGATCTTCCCAATTCCATTCAGACTGTGTTTAGAGGACGTTTCCAGGACCCTAGATTAGAAAACGTTATGATTAAGTGTTGACGAAAGGAGAGTACCCAAGTAACCTTTGATTTGCTGTTCACATTACTCATTAGATGAGCTACAGCTCGTGATTATTGAATTTGGAAAGGAAAACAGAAAAGTAGAGCAGGAAAATAATGTACAAAAGTTAATGTAAGGTGCAACAGTCTAGACAGACGATTTCGCCTTGTGATAGTGGCGAGGTGCCGGAAGTTGTAAATCAGTACGTCTATTTAAGATAGGTAGTAACCTTGGATCCAAATCACGGGAGCGAGGGAGAATATCAAGAAGGCGGGAGCTTAACCAGTAAAATGTGGAGGATGGGGGAGCACATTTGGCAAGCATTCTCAAAGTATCATTGGTAGTCTACCATTATCGCACAGTATGAAGGTGTTTAACACCTGACTCCTTCTAGTAATTACCTACGGAGCAGAAACCTGTAGGCTAAAAAGATAGATCGATTTTTCTTGAGGGCGATGCAGAAAACAATGGAAATTAAACTGATAGATATAATTTCAAGAGACAGGAAGAGAGCAGGGTGGGTCAGGGAGCAAATAGGTTAGATCGATATGAAAGCTGAGACCAAAAAAAAAAAATCACCACTCAAGCACTCCGTACAAATAGTTAACCAGCAAAAAAGCTGGTAAGTGCGGCTCCGGTGTTTATCTGCGGGTTCAACCCGGCAGGGCACTGAAGCCTTTCACAAAGATTGGTTCTATATTCGTGCTTTTTGATAAGCTTAGAAACACGTCGGGCTTCGTTTAGTCACAGTGTTTAGTTCACGTGCTGCATATTGTGCCTCGCATATTCACAGTCAAGGAGGAGTGTATTGAGTGGTTAAATGCGTTTCGCAATGCATCAGCTACAGTGGTTGTTCTCGAACCACCCGACAGAGACGTCGCAGCCGAAGCCAATGTGCCACTGGAAAAATTCCCGTGGGCAGTGGGCGTTTGCCTCGGTGAACGCGCTCCCCTGCGAAATCATCACGTTGAAGCCGGAACCCCGTTGCAACCGTTTTACATCGCGAGCCGACTCTGCAACGTGGTTTACAGGTCCCGCCCGCCACCGGCGCCTGTATTACCTTTGGAAATTTAGCGCTGCTCAAAGGACTCACGAATCATCGGTACTGCAGTTTACTGCCGGCACTCTGCCTCCCGGTCCTGTTTTTGCGCTCAGACGGCACTATCATTCCGGCGAATGCGAGTCTCTCTCACGTCTCCGCTGTCGGCGCTCTTCTAGACTTGTCCGTCGCATACCCATGTGGAAGGTTTAAAAAGAAACTGATGCGCTCGTGCTCGGCAACATGGTTGTGACGGGATGGACGACGTCACTCAAAACGCAGCTAATGGGGCGCATGCATGGGTACGACGCTGCGAATGACGTAAGTGATAACGCAGCCAGTAGAGACCGCTCGTGAAGGAGGCCCGTGTGCTCAGATTTGGGTGCACGTTAAAGAACCCCAGGTGGTCGAAATTTCCAAAGCCCTCCACTACGGCGTCTCTCATAATCATATGGTGGTTTTGGGACGTTAAACCTCACATATTAATCAATCATGGGTGCACGTTAAAGAACCCCAGGTGGTCGAAATTTCCGGAGCCCTCCACTACAGCGTCTCTCATAATCATAGGGTGGTTTTGGGACGTTAAACCCCACATATCCATCAATCAGAGACCGCTCGTGATGCCGCTACCAGACCACCTTTTGTTCCTGCTGGCCATATACAGCTCTCGCTGTAATAAATGAACAGGAGACGCGCACGCAGAGCTTAGACCGGATAACCGCTGGTCGTTACGGTCAGCTGTCTGGTTTCCAAGAGAAAGAAAACGAGCCAGGGAGACACAGAAAGTTACGTGGGGAGATGAGTTGAAGTTTGCGGGACAATGGGGCAGCATCAAGCTCTGGACCGGGTTTATTGACGCTGCATGGGAGAGGCATTTGCTCGGCTGTGGGTGTATTCAGGCTGATGATGATGACGTAAAAGAATGTTACTGAGGACAGCCAAATGTTTTGCAATATACTAAATGAAACGATGAAGGCAAATGTGTCCACTCTCGTCACTTAAAATATATTAAGTTTAACATATTGAGGCTTAGTCGAGAATGATTTGAATGGAAATTCAGCAGGAGAAGACAGTGTGTTCATCAGGAAAAACACTGAATGAGCAAACAGAGATAATTTGATGACTTAAACAGCACAATCATGAGGCTACAATTTTATATGTAGAAACGAACAACTAGCGCGATAGGAGCTTAGGTGATGAATGAAGGTGGCTCAGTGCATCATTCAATGTGTTAAATACAATCATGTCCTAACATATCAGTGCTGATTTTGTGCATTTCTTACCTAATGTTCATTCTTGCGTTTCATCAATGCTGAATTTTTCCCACAGTTTCTTTATTGGTGACGCGCCATTCATGGTGGTCAAGGATCTGGACATGATAAACGATATATTCATCAAGGAGTCAAACAACTTCTCAGGACGTGGAGTGAGTAGGAATTCTACCCTGTGTGTATAAATTTTTTTTCGATTCTTTCTTTTACTTCTTTCTCTGTATTTTGAGAAAATTTCTCGACAGACAATTCGCCCAGAATTGGTGAATATATAAATAGGAGAAATAAAGAGATATAAGATGCCAACATCCGTAGGTCAGCAGATGGAGCTTAGAAGATGCTTTAGACGCCAAGCTGCTTTTGATCAGGGCTTGTCCCTTGTTAGTCAGCGTAGAAACACTGGTACTCGGAGCACCCACAAAATAGCTCTGCGGTAGAGGGCTAACTCCACTCAGGTGGGCAGTACGGTGTGAGTGGCAACCACTAGAAACACTTCAATGCTCTTATATTAAACACACTTACTCCTCTCTCCCTTTTTTCGCTCACACACAGCGTAGTAGTATGATTGAAGACTTGAGTATGATTGCGGCAGAGGCGAGAACACACAAAGCGGTGTGTGCGCTACCATGAACGTGTACCGCGATGAATAAAAATAACCTATTTACAGAACGTCACATCTACCCATGCCTGCTTCGTATACTGCTCAGAGTTCCATTTTGGTATTGGTCTCATTCGGATTCAGGTTGAAGAAAGCATTGATCAGCGTGGTTTACCAGCAAAAAATTGAACACACCAATGAGATATAATGATTTCAGCCAGATGGAGTCATACACTTTCCACTCGGTTGGTCTCTCCTGCATCACCGCCACCCTGAAGAAGTGGAATTGAGGCCATGACATGTACCGTATTTCACCAACTTAACGCAGTCATCTGTTTGATACGGCCAAGTTTACACCAAACGTTCAAGGTCTCACGTGCTTTCTTCACTTTTTTTCTCCAACTCACACGCGCCTCCACGAGAACAAAATTTATCAAGTTTTTACCCGACCAAGTTTATTTAAACTCAAGGAATATAAACAGTTGATTGCCCTCAAACTCAAGCTATTCAACCTTAATTTAACATAAGGGTTCTCACAAGACAACCAAGGTGAAATCTGGTGCCACCATTTGTGCAAATTCACAAAGGGGCATCCTAAGAGCGCTGGGAATGATGTTTATATGTGTTCGCGAGGCTTGTGTTGGCTAGTGCTGAAAAGGCTTTGGCTCAAAAGCGGATACGACTGCGCAAGTATAGCTTTCCTGAAATAAATCTATGATAAGTGGATTCATTCACGCGTAATGTGTTCTAAAATAACCTGTATACGGCATAACCAAGCGGTGAAAGAAAAAAATCAGACGACGAGCAATAGCAGATTGAATGCTGACGCTGTTTTGTTTAGCCACCGTTCGTTACCGTCTACGCATAGCGAAATTTTACATCGATGCAGAAGTTTCCCATATTCAATAAAACTGACTACTGTGCCAGGATAAGGAAGAAATATCTCACTAGGTGCTTGTTTTATAGAAATAACTATATTGACACACTTGAACGCGTTGAAAGGAGAATGCATCGAGGTGTACGAACTCTACGGGAACGATGAAAATCTTAGTGAAGTTGGCAGCTTGAATATTCTAGCATTCCTATGCGTCCAAAAGATCGATGTGCCAGTTTTCCCTCTAGGTAAATGTAGTGAACTGTATGAGTCACCCACGGTCACTGTAGCTGTTACTCATGAATCATAAATCGAAATATTAATCCAAGAATGCTTGAAATATTCAGTTCTATGCAGTTCAGGCAGGCCTATTTACCCTGCAGGGGCTCAATTACTTAGGTGTTGTTTTGGTTGAATTAAACACATAATGTATGATATCGTATTTAGTTGCGGTAAATCGGCAGATGTAAGTGCTCGGGCACACTGTCTTATGTCGTTTTCCATGCGTATATGCAAAGAAACTTGAAAATTAGAAAAGCTGATTTTGGTGTCAATCGCAACAGACACAAATGAAAAAAGTCATAATTGGTCTTGAAATGTAATTTAATAAAGAAATATATCGCGCAAGTTGATATGTGTGTAGTTTGGTAGAAAGCGCACAGCTTTTACACGGCGACATGACAAAATATACGCGTACGTTCAACTTAAAGTAAACATTTGTAGCGAAACGCCGTAATATTCACGTGTGAAGTAAAAGAAACAACGACTAAGAACGTGTAAAAACAATTAAAAAACAAACAAGAGACCACGTGTTGTGCCATATTCTATCAGCCACGCTATTAAAAACACAACGTTTGCGGGAACAACTTTGTTTTAGGACAAATAAAAAAGTTAGGACACATAGAATGACCATGCATATTAATAATGGTAGGAAGATGAAGATATAATCTTCTGATAAAAAATCGGTAAACAGGGCTTGTATAGAACGTATGCATAAGTGATCCATGCATAGAAGTCACCATGCATGGCAAGTGGTCATATAAATAGGCACTGAGGTGAACCTCACTCTACAGCCAGCACGGGGCAACAATGTTCATAGAGTGGTCCCCGGCTATTTCACATACAAGAGTTCAATGATCACGCACATCAGCGGCCCGTGTGCGGGAGGTAACCTATTAACCGCTTCAAAACTCACACTGATGCGATAAGTATACACTCATGCACGCCCAGACAGTATGCCCGAATTCTCTGAGCGATCCTACGCTCATGTGGCTCACCTAAGACTGTTTAGCCATATGTATAATATGGCTAAATCTGGCCACGAACAAGCATCGAGCTCGCAAAGATGCTCGAGCTCGTGAACTGTGCCCGGTGCATTGCGCGACCAACGACCAGCCCTACAGTCAACAAAACTCCTTTATATTTGGTGAAGCCGTGCTGGGTACTCATCCGTCTATCTTCCCCGTACCATACTGTAACTGCGTTCTCGGCGGCCACTCACTAATATGCCAGACACTAATCAGTAGATGCTTCCATCACCATCAGTCACTTGTCCGGGCAGTGTTCTCCAGCGGGAGCCTGCAATCTTCAGCGGAACAGACGACAACGACGTTGAAGATTTGCTCTCGATTTTCAAAAGAAAGATCAACAGATGGACGGACGTGAACAAGTTGACCCGCCTGTCGCTCTAGCTCGCGGGTGTGGCCAGCCTTTGGCTAAAAAACCACGAGGTATACTTCCAAACGTGGCCGCAGTTCAAAATGTCAATTGTGGCAGTCTTCGACCAATCTGCCGTGCGAAAACTTCGTGAGAAGCAGCGTTTGCGCTGCTTCTCTCGAAGACAAAGGTGAAATTTCAACATGTTATGTTGAAGACATTATCGGCATGTGCAGATGCGTGGACGCCGCATTGACGGAAACTCAAAAGATCAATCACATCATAAGAGGGATTACCGATGATGCTTTTCAAATGCTTTTGGCCAGACTTGTGACTGCAGTTAACACTGTTATTAGCTTTTGCCAGAGCTATGATGAATGGCAGAAACTTCGTGCTCTGGCAAGACGTCTTCCAGCACGATTTGGCATCAATGTCGAGTCTTACCAGCCGGTCATGACCAGGCGTCGCTAATAGCTTAAATAAAGTCCTTCGTTCGCGAAAATGTCACACGACAGCTTTCCTTGGTGTCCTTCACTCAGGCACCTACCACAACTTTGCCATCGTCCCTCCACGGTGTCATTTACACAGAGGTTGCTGAGGCGCTACCAGCTGCCCACGAGCAAAATCCTGTACCTGCTTCCCTCCCATACGCCGCGGTTGTAGCCGGGCTCTCTCGAAAAGCACCCGCATTCACTGGTCCAGCATCATAAAAGCTCTCCCCCACCTCTAGTCCTTTGCACTGGTACTTAAACCCCCCACCTGTGGCGCACACTCGACAGTCGTCCAATATGCTTCGCATGTCGATCCCCCGGGCACGTCGCAAGGTGTTGGCGCGTTCGGGCCAAAGCAACCGATGGAAAGCTCCGAGAGCCCTACTTCCCACTTGACTCAAACGTGCCTTACAGTTCCTGCACTCCAATGCAAGCTCGCTACCAGGATAATTTTCATCCTCGGAACATCTTCGCTCGCCCTCTCCGCGCCATCGCTCGCTTTCCGCTATGCGGCGATGCCCCAACGAAAAGAGAAACCAGATGACGCAGTTCCCGAGACGAGAACTACGCAACTTCAGGTTTGCCGAAGTCCTCATTTTTTACCCACCAATGTTATGAATGTGGTTGTCGAAAATGCCGCTTGAGTTGGTCTTGTAGATACAGGTGCTGCTGTTTCTGTTAAGGACACTACAAATTGCCCTTCCATTCGCAAAGTTACGACGCCTCTCTCGGGATTGTCGCTTCGTACAGCCAGTGCTCTGCCTTATAACCGACCATAGTCAGTTCAGCCCGCTTGACCATTCAGGACACTGTGTACGATAGGTGTTCATGGCTCTTTCACCGTGCTCACGTACCATTATCTAGGGATAGGAATTTTCGTCACGTCACAACACCGTAATCGATTGCGCTTGGGCTGAGGCTGAATTTCGCGTACTTGAGGACCGAGCCTCCATCGACATTAAATGTGCCGCCAAACTTGTTGTGAACGATGACACCTACACACCCCCACACTCTTTTCCTCCGTACCAGTTTCGTGCAGCGCTATCAACGGTGGGACGGTGTTCTTCTCACCATCTCAGATATTCGTAGCCTGAAACGCCGTTCCGTTGCCTTTTGCTGCTTTTCACTAGATTTCACTACAGTACACATTGATAATTGTCATTCATAACCGCTATCACTGCTTTGACACGAGTGTGTTGGCCATCGTAGCCGTCCACGGTGAGGTGCCCGTTACCCCCACCTGTCAAAGTCAACACTGACGAAGACTGGGCGACCAGGCGAAACGTTTGTTACTATAAAAGGTGTTTCAATATATTGTTACACGCAAGAAGTACACGAAAAGGTTGAAAAACAGGCGAGCCTGGATGGTTCGCGTTTACTTCCACAAGGGGTCTCGAGACAGCACACCCAACGTCGTCTTCCTTCTTCACCTTTTTTTCTGAATGTTCATTCGCGCTGTATGCGCCGTGCATTGCAACCGCTCGTGACATTTCCCCGTTGGCAGACGAAGCCCGCCGGGCGAGTCACTCAGTGGTT